CACCTCCATGGCAGCTCCGAGTCACATGACAAAGCTTTCAGAGACTTGCAGCTGGTGATAGCTTTCCAAAAGGGCTCCCCATCGTGATTTTGCAGCTCCATATACCCAAATGCTCCAGTTGGCTCTTCTCTATGCCCTCGGAAACTCCAACGTTAACTCATCTTCTCCCCTGCTACCACCACTTATTACCAAATGGCGCAGCTTACAATGTGGACTTGAGAGAGCTGACCACAGACTGCTGTCACCGACCGTTCCTCCTCCCTCTTTGGGCGGAAAAAGTACAAGCTTGATCAGCTTGCAATTGGGATTTTGTAGCGCTTTGCCCAACCATCCACCACAATCACCTGGATAAAGTGTAACCCTGAGTTCCTCCAAGCCACACTTAGCGCTGCTCAGGGCCTCACCCAGGCCCGTTGCATTGCTCAGGTCCTCACTCCGTCTCATTCCTTGGCAATTTAAAACTGACAGGCTGGTGCCCTCCTGAAGAGCCTTGCATACCCATGGCAACACTCCAGGATCACTTCCCGAATATAGGTATAGTCTTTGCAGCGAACAGTTTGGACTCGTGAGTGCCTTGAAGAGTGCTTCACCTGCCCCCTCTGGAAACGAATATGCCGTCAGTTCTACTAGCTTATTGCAAATGCCATTCTGAAATGCCTGTTCCCACCCTTCCTTGGCAATGCCCTCACCCAGAACGATGGCTAACTCTTCCACCTTGCACTCCTGACTTGCCAGATCCCTACTCAATTTCCCAAATCCTTCCACTGTCATCCTGTTCCCCACCAACACGAGACATTTCAAGTTGTTTCCTGGTTTCCTAAGGAGTTGGCTAAGGAGAGTCTCTGGGTTCCCAACCTTGTCCAACCAGAGCTCTGTCAAGCAGTCGAGCTGAGCAAAGGCCAACTCAAGCTCCTGAGGTGGTGTGAGGATGTCTTTGCCTCGCCAATCGAAACGTAGCCCTTTCAAGACCTTGAATTCCTGTGTCATCGTCAGTAGCTTTGCAAACCTCTGCACCTCAATCTGCCAAATATCCTGTCCCTGCTGAGGAGGAGCAATGCCCTCTGCCACCCTTTGCATTCGATCACTGGGAATGCCCAACCTACAAGCGACCCTGGCAGCGAAGTGGATGAATCTGATGTCGAGCTGTGGTACCAAAGCGGCCTTGAGAATGTCAATGTGAGCAGCAGCAGCAGCAGCAGCAGACGAACTGCCATCACCAGGAGCATCTCCCACATCCAGAGCCCTGTCTAACCTGGGCGGATTTGAAATGCACCAGTTGAGCACACCAATCAGATCCTCCTCTGTGCCTCCAAACCCCTCAACGGTAGCACTCACCTCATCAACAAACTCACCTTTGGATGCGTCAAGCGCCTCCAGCCTCCAGACAAGCTCCCCACAATTAAACTGAATCGCATTGAAGTGCCGCTTGTTGCCCCGCTTCGCTGCGAGAGCCTCCTTGATCTCCTTGACAGAGTCACAGCGGATCCACACTCGTCGCTCCTCCTCCATGGAAGTTTGCCCTAGATCGAGTGATCATGAGTAAACTTCTCCCAGCTGTGGATAAGAAAGTAAGCACGAGTTAGTTTAGGGTTTAGAACAGATAAAATGGGGAAGAAGGGGAAAGGGAAAAGAGAAGACCGAGCGAGTTCGTCGCCACGACAAAGGTGTTAGACGAGGATGATATCGATGCGATCTCTGGCCAAAGACTCTCAATTGTTTTCCTTTTTGTCAGTGAAGGGGCAGTGGAGAGCACGAGTAAAAAGTGAGCTGTAATGTAAGAGTTAATTTAGGAATTAAACGGAAAGGACAAGAC